TTTGGTTGGATGTTGTCGGCTCCGGGAGAACTGTGGATACGCAAGGATAACAACTTCTTCAACACAGCTACCGCAGTGAAAGTGACATTGTCTAAACCAGGTGGTCGAGTAATAGAAATGAAGAAAAGTTTGGGAGTAATGACGTCGTAGGTGATCAGCTGCTTCCATTGCTGATCGCGTGCACCCATCAGCCGTGACTAGTGCTGGAATCCCGCGCTTCACTTTTCGAAGCCCGTTAACGTGCCTGTACAGAAGTTTGCGGTTCGTGCAGAATCGCTTCATTAACTCCTGCTGATGCGTGAAGTCGTTTTCGCGGATCAGTTTCACACAGAAGTTGCGGTGTGTCACTTATTCAGTCCAAGTGACAGCATTCGAGCAGTCCTGGTAATCTCGTCATGCCAAATCCCTCCGGGACATACATTTACGTGTTTTGCCCCTCAGAAATGGCTTATGCTTGTTGTGGTGGAAGGAGTTGTGTTCCGATGCTTGCGCAACCAGTGTACTAAACGTCCTTGTAAAGGTTTCCCAGGCAACATCTGGAGGGCGTCCGGTTAAGAAAGTCCAAGATGTGTCCTTAACAAGCTTAGATAACACATTGTAGTGCGTGCCAGTATGCACTTTATCATCCTCCTTTTCAGGGCACTCCGCATAGCATATATAGTCGAAGAGTATTGTAACATGATCATTACGACCCAGAGATGTGCTTGTAACTATCCCGTCAACCATGAGTTCTTCGTTAGTTAGCACAAGATCCAGTATCGACGGCTTGTTAGCAGTTCGAAATCTGGTGGGAGAGGTTCCGTGGTTGTACAGAGGGTGGCTAGCAATTAGCTCTTGCAAGCAGGCTTTAAACTGCGTACCGTCGGTTGCCGGCGTTTCTATGTCGTGCAAGTTAAAGATTACAGCGATAAGAATGTGAGTGTGGGACTTGATCAAAGCAAACTGAAAAACGTGGTTCAGTTTGGAGTCCATTTCCGACGTTGAGTTTGGTGGGCGGTAAATCACGGCTAGTACACATGTGTTCTGGTTTCGTAACCATAGATGGCACCGAAGCGAATCAGGAGCTCAGATTTCCCGGTGATCGACAACTTCACGCCGGAGGTTTGTATTATATTAAAGAATCACACCGCCACCCCATCCGGTTCTATCGGTCCGAAGCAGTGACATACCGGGTAAGTAGATCTCAGAATCGGTTATCGCAGCGTTTAACCATGTCTCTGTAATCATGACGAGGTCCCGCGGTTGTGAGGCATGGAATTCTCTAAGTTTTGCCAATGTACTTTGAAGGCGTTGGGCGTTTGTATACATGCAAGATAGAGCTTTTGTTGTTAGAAATGCGTTGACGGATGTCAAGTTTGTGTTAGTTTTTAAGCAGGCTTTAAGGTGGCTGGCCATTAACCGTTCTTTTTGGTTTATGTGTTTCAGTCAATTTGCCTGGCATTATTGAGCGCTCCTGAACAGACTTTTAACTCGTGCTGTGCTTTGTCCTATTGTGTGCCGTGAGTGCTGTTGTTTCAGTCTCTCCGCAGGACTGTGCAAATAAAGAATCTGTAGCGTTTGCAAGTTCCATCGAATTGCTTCCGACTTTTGGCCGTTCGCCTGCTGCCTTTAACCGGATCTCTGTTGGCAACCTAGCTCGAAACTTTAACCAGCTATCCAGCAAGACTTGTATCATTCCCTCCGATTGTAGTATTAATTTCATTAGCATTGGACCGCAGCCCTTGTAGTTAGGTGATGACGGGACCCTTGTCAGGGATTTGGCCATAACATTGTCAACGGAGAGTGCATCGCGGATGTAGCACCACTGCTCTCGGTCACGTGTTTGCGCATCGTGATCAGAAGAATGCAGGACGTGCGGGACGTGTCAAGCACTTGCTTTTATCCCGTGATAAATCGTTGTTCATTGTTCAAGCTCGGAAACACCATGAACAAATATTGTTTTCTCGGTATCCCTATTAGGAATGCCGCGTTGCTCAACTGCTTCTTTTGGGCGATCTTTCCAAGGTAGATCAGATAATATGCACACTCCATTCGGTGAGTTGCCAAGATGAACTGCTGAGAGCAGGACAGCCTCTGTCTCATTTGCTGAGTCTAGTGTTACTCGAAGAATTTAAGGTTCACCAAAGTGCACTGAGGTCGTGTGACGCGTTACGCGTTGCAGCATTGCAGGCTCAACCCGAATACCAATCGTCTCGCAGGTGAAACTCCACTGGTTGCGATCGTCTTGCAACTTGCCTTTTATTGTGCTAGATTTGGACTCGGGAACATTGGTGCACACGAGAGTTAACGCAGCGTGGTTTTGTCTAGCGATCGTTGGCTTTATAGTTTTTTCCGGCAATTTGGGTTGTTAGCAGGCACCACTGGAGCTGACGGTTAAAGCTGCATTGCGCCACGCGTGCTCGGTACAGAAGATGGACCAATGTCTGTCGCTTCCGATGTGTTTGTCGAGGCAATCGTTGCGTACGTTACCTGCTTGTTATCCGCACCGGATTGTCTTCAGCTCTGAGCTGTCGGTGTCATGGCCGAATCTCCAAGTGAAGCGTCTGTGGTTGGAGAAGTGGAAGCAGGCATGTTTGAGGCTTGTCCGCTTATGGGAGTGAGGTGACCCAGTGGATTTAGTGTCACAGACGCTGCAGTGGGGTTGGAGCGTCTAGCTCTCTTCTTCGGCTTAATTTCGGAGCTTACTTTGGCTGGGTGATGTAGTATTGTAGCCATATTTGCCTCCGTGGGATCAATCTCAGTATTTACAAAATGGGGGATTATCTCAGTCATCCTATCGCACTTTTGCATGCGTAAAGATAAACAGTTGACAACTGGAAAGTATTGACATGTTGAGCAAAACCAAATTGTGTCAGCAACTTTGTTTGTCTGTCTCCATTCTGGGAAGGATTCGCCTACACATTGCGCACAGAGCTATCTAATGCAGCTAGAACAGGTAATACTGATTTTAAGGACTTTACTGCAATTGTTTGTGCAACATAGGCGACGTAGAACCATTGGAATGCTAGTCATCCTCTTATTGTTTACAGCGAGGCCTATCTAAGCGCTCACCTTGATGCGTTTTCTTTGTACTAGGGGTGACGCACGAATAAGCTTAATAAAAGGGTTCTAAGCTATCTAATGTTAAAAATGTGACGCCAAATTGAGGGGTAACAAGGGAAAATGCGAGCATGTGCGTAGTCCGTAGGTGGCTGCTGGCGGTTTGTGCCGGAAAGTCACCAGCGTGTATGTTGACTCAAACAAACATGTACAACATTCAAACAAAAGAGGCACTTTAGTTGCCGTAGAAAGTATAATCTTAGATTACTAGAATATGTTACTCAGCGATCTACATCCAAAATGGCGAAATCTCTAAGTCAATAGAAGTGTACATGGCACCCTTGCAGGTGACCATGGTTGCTGGAGCAAGCGAAAAAGGAGCATTATACAAAAAACAATCGCTAAAAGAATCGAATTTCGTCCAACACTAACTAGCGGAATCTCCACCACACACACACCCCTTATCGACGATTAACACATTCATCAGGTCCCAAACAAACTTGTGACGGAGCTAACTTCAGATGCTCAGCCATTCTGTCAGTTTCGTCGAAGGCGCGTCAACTTCTGATGTGGATAATGATCCAGGTAATTTACTAGATAGTGAGGATTTATTTTGCAAACAGACTGCCACTGTCTTGAATACTCTTGCGATTCATGATCTCGAGGGGGTTGCGCGCACACGGTAAATATCTACGTATGACTCACAGCAACGAAGGGCGTCAATCTTTAGCTTCCGGTACAAATTCCGACTCCTCTACCATAGATAGCCAGTATGCTTTATTTATACGTGCGTATAGCTTTGCACCACTTGTCTCTCATATGTCATGCGTCCTCTAGGTTTTCGTCGTGGCGTTGGCGATCTTACAACAGATGCTATAAAACACATATTAAATTTAGTTCTGCTGTTTGAATGTTCATTAGCACTCCTGTATGGGTTTAAAAGAAAAAAAGTCGATCAATTAACTGGATTGCCCAACGGAATGTATTCCACGACGACGCCAACTCAGCTTGTAACCTTGCAGGTCAGTAATTAACCTGCTGGCCAGTAGTTGGCCGGTCGATTGGACATTACTTGTTACTATGTGTGACGTCGGCACGACATCACTCTCGCACTGAAAGGCAGAGTTTACAATGCAGCCGTGCGTTTAACCATACTGTACGATTGTGAAACTTGGTTTATCACATCGACAGACCTAAGAAGGCTAGTTACGTTCGATCATCGCTGTCTCCGCCACTTAGCCCATGTCTGGTGGGAACACCGCATGGGCCGTGAGCTTGCTTGGCATCGCATATTTGGTGCAGAAAAACGAGGGAACCGCTCAGCACTGTTATATCACGCACCAGGCTCCGATGGATGAGCCACGTGTTACGCATACTAGCACACCGACTTCCGCGATGTGCGCTATTTAAGCGGCCGAGGTGTGGATGGAAGAAGAGGAGGGGAGGCCAAGCGGTGACAAGGTCAAGATAAATGAAATCACTCACTTCGAACTTGGCGTCACTTGGTGTCTCCCGATTGCCGGGCTGGGGTCCTAAGGAAGATGAACACATTTGGTTGGACACACTTGTTGATATGGCTAGGAGCCGGCCCCAATGTCGTTTGTGTTGTGATGATGACTACCCGGTTTACTACCCAGCCAATGGTGTTATAATCGCCCTCAAGGTCACCAGGAAAGCACACGCACCCATGCGCTGGTGCGGCTTCCCTTCGGTGCCTCTAACCGTCATTGATAAAAATTGCCCATAAATGCAGCAACAGGTAGTGACGCGCTGATCGCAAACTTCCGTGGCAGCTTTTGTTTAATTTGTGAAAGCCTTGTGATGGACTTGGCAGAAGTAACCACATTAACTTGAGGTGAAGCTGCGTACAATTATTTTGACATGTGCGTCTCAGTATGTAGAAGTTTAACAGAGCCATAACAAGAACTGCATTTCTGGCTCATATTTTGTCATTTCGATAGAAACTACCGGTCGACCGTGTTTCATCAACGGTACTATTCTGGCTCACAGCGGCATTCAACGTACCGGTTGTCGTCACCAGTGCATGTGTGTGGATGGTCGGTTAATTTGTGTGGACTTGTGTTTGCAACAAGAAATGACCGAGCGCCCGCCGGAGTTCGTGTGTTCCCGTTTAGCAGCTGAGGACAGAGTTCCGATGCAACTGCGATTACTACCAGCAACGGGAGGTGAATGCTGTCGCCGATGGGTGTGCGTTCCCTCGATGGAAGATGAGATGCCAACCGATTTACCAGTGAGTTGGAACGACTCATCACAGGACTCTCAACCTCTTCAGATGAATTTCAACTCAGACGGTAAGTGTGCTGGACCTCGCACAGTACATGTTCTGTATTGGTTGCACACCTCATACTGTTCGACGACACATCACTAAGATTCTGCTACGAAGTCAGATAGTTCGTAGGTTATTTACAGTAAGTACTTCTTCTCATCTTAGCTCCACTACTAGGGAAGCACATAGTGCATCTCTGATTTGAACCGATCGCAAAATGACCCTTGCAAACTGACATGCTTTAGTCAACTGGTCAGGTTTCCCAATCATAAATCGAACTGAGATATTCCGACGCTTGTGGATCTGTTTAAATATTATTGCGGCAGGCATCCGATTTATCGGTGGCAGCGAGTGTGAAGCAAAACACAGGTAAACTGCGTATGCGTGTATTTTTAATGATCAACTATGCAGGTTTCAGCTATTGTTGTAGGTCAAAAAGGCAGAAAGCAAATTATGCTATGCCTTCTGACAAAGGTAATCGGTACAAATTACCATTTCCCTATAGAATCTCCTCACTTGTCTCTCTGTCAGTAGATCAGGCATCTTGTCCTAAAGTGTGTCATTTTAGTTGGGGAAAACGCACGAACGCCAAGACTATTCAACTACACTTAACTCACGTTTCAAATGCGGCTGAAAATGTGTTAGGACACAATTGTTAACCGGCTGTTCCCATGAGGGGCTACCCTGTCCTCTGCATGTCAGTAACGTGCAAGCCAATGGATAGTGAGCGGCGCTACATCACATCTGTTAACTTGGTGACGACAGTCGTTGCTGTCCCCCGTAGCTCAGTGGTCTCAAACGCTGTCTAGTAACAGTATAGTTGCTAGTTCAAGCCCTACGAAGGTCAGTTAGGATGCCACTGCTGACAAATCCCAGAAGGATGAAACGGGGTACGGTACTTTTCCGGGCATTCTATAGCTGTCTGACCGAGGTTGGACTCGTTTGATTTCTACTTATACTTTTCAAATCCTTCTACTACTCCCTTGAAATGTTGTTTACGTTGTCTTTTTCGGACCCCAGTTTAAAGAGTGCAGCTATTTTTTAAGGTTGCCGATGTTCTTGCAGTTATTTCTCAGATACAACTTAAGTATGTTCCGTCTCCGACCTCTTCCAGTGAGTTTGAGTTGGCTAGAATCAGATGGAACCACAGATACATGTGCATAGTAACTCATCTGAGAATACATTCATGTTGCCTATATTATAAGCTGTTAAATCTGTACAGATATTCGGACAACAGATAAAAGTGAAGTAACCTATATCAATGTATTAACCCTAGAGTGTTCTAGAAAATCAAGGAGTAGGGGTGGTTTCATAAGGCGATCCAAAAAGAAGGGCAGTAAAGCGGCATAGAGTGCACTACAAAAGGTGTGCACAAGAAACTTCAAGCTTCTTATACCTCACCTCAAAAGACATTAAGTAGATGAATCATCTAGGTCGCCTTTTCGTCTGGTCCACATATTTCTTTTAACCATGATACTTAGGGATGGGGTAGTTTAATTCACACTAATATAAGAGAAGCTTTGACCACACGGGACGTGTCTTTATACTCTGCATGTTAGTAGTCTCTCGCACAGATCAAAATAAACTGGGGTTTGAGTCATCAGTCTATTGGTGGGTTGTATGTATATTGACTCGGCTCTATTTCTTAAACCTCTAAACCGATTCAACTAATATATATGGTATATTTCGCGACATTGCGATACACCGTCCAACTGAATAGTATGCTTGGGTGTGCTCCGGCTTTTGATCCACTCTTTGTTTTGTTTTCGTTTCCATGTATTGTGATACTCTGCCAACCGTTTATATATATATATATATATATATATATATATATATATATATATATATATATATATATATGACAACAGACCAGATACCCAAGAGCCAATTGTCGTTCTGTGAAGGCTAATAAACTGAAGGAAGTAATCTTCTTATGTTGATATACGTATCCCTGCTGTGTAATACTTCGCTGCATCCAGCGTCAGCAACGTTTCATTCGGGCTACGAATATCTTGCTTGCCAGTCGCTAGATCATGGCCGGAATCCTTTCATCACCAAACCTCGCAGACGGAAAAGTATCACTAGCGCGTCCAAGAGGGAACTCTCTACCTTAGGTTATTGAGGATCTCTTACTGACGTTCGGCTGTTAACGTGGTTTACATTTCGAAGCCAGTGTATCCATTTGTAGTCCATCATTACTATCGCACCCTGAAAGTGCGTGCTTCGAGTAATCTTTTTAACTTTGTGAGAGACTTGTGCCGTCTTTCTCTTATCGTTTCTCCTGGGTTTTCCCATAAGTAACCCCTCCATCTACTCTGATCTACTAGTTTCTTTAATCATTTGTCCTAGATTTGTGCACAGAAGCTCGGCATCACATTTCACCATGGAGTGTTTGTAATCAACAGTGCGGCCTCGGAGTTTCCAGTCGTTGGACTACGGATACTCCGGATTGCCGAAATATAACCCAGCTACGATTATGCTTTTGGCGACCTTGTCGAGCTGTCAACGTGGTCAATGTAAGGGAAAACTTTATTTGCATCCTTTTGTAATGTATCCCACGTTTTGAGTCATATGTACGCTGGTAGTTTTTTTCATTTTCCACAGTTATAGATAGTCAGACGGCTAAACATTGTGATCAAAACGTTGTAACGAAAATAAACACAAACTTCTCACCTGAGTTCCCCCGAACCCCAGTGCGCTTGTTCAGTCCAAGCGACTTGTATCTAAAACAGTTACAACTTCAAAAGTAGCGTTCTTGGTGATTCCATTCCTTTTGCGCCAAGTATGAAACAACCTCGATCAGTTGAATCTCAACATAAAATACTCATCTTAGCCAAGTAGTTTATACTAAAAATTCGATTAACTGTGAAGCTGACACAGTTTGGAACGGGAGTTACTGTGCTGCTTGTTTGGTGGCATAAAAACTGGTGTGCGCTCTTTCCTCCGTTTTACAGTCTAACCTGCCATGGCGGCCACCTGTCTTTGGTGATCACCTGTCTATGACGACCAGTCAAAAACATCCCCAACGTTTTCTGCTATGAATAATATCCCTATGCATGAAAATGTTAATGGCAACACATGTCCAAGACGAGCACTTTTTTCGATCCCTTGAGTGGTCATCTTAGACAGGTTTGACTGTATTTTGTTCCGCCTTCTCGGTTAGATCACTTCACGGAGTAATTCCACTCTCTCTAGGGAACTTTCAGTGTTCCCAATCGCTGGTCTAATGATTAATATGCCATTTTCCGGAAGAAATGATAATTCAATTGCTACAGTTGTTCTCCATTTCTGAAGCCAATGGTAATCGATAAATGTGTTTAATGCTACTGTACACTCTTAGCAACTGAGTGGATAGTGGATTGCAACACACTTTATCGTTCCGACGATTTTCTTGGCATGCACTAGCCTTGGAAATCCGCTGTCTCTTTACAGAGTTCGTTATCCTGCCCCATGATATTATGCTGATGAAAATTTATCGGCTTGCGTCTATGAATCATCAATGAATAGGGGGAACCATGTGCGACTTTGGCAACGATGGACTTGCATGTAGCTGGAAGGCGCTGACTTGAGTGATGCAAAATTGTGACAGGTTCGTCATTTCTTTTGTGACAGTCAACGCAGTCTTGGCCTCCAGATTAATTTTCTAATCGCCCAGCATTTCCTGGAGTCAATCTCGTCTTCATTACTGACGCGTAACTGATGCAGCTCGAATCAGGTACACCGAGTAATGAAGCAACTGGATAGAAGTTTCTTTTATCAACCACACTTGCATTAATCGAAACTGATCCACCAGTAGAGGTTGATTTGTCAATTTTCGTCGGCCGAAGTATGCCATAAAAAGCAACGTACGCGCTTCTACCTTCATCAGTTTGTTAATCTTTATGTTGGTGGAATACCGGCAATGTTTCTCTTCTATCCAATCGCCATAAATATCGATTAATCTAATCCTGAGATCTGGTCGCATCCAACCGCGTTGGTGAGCAGTCAGTCTTCCAATTCATTCAGTTTACCAGGGCAACTGTGACGAACTTGTGCACTACCTACCAGCCTCAGTCCCTGGCTCTTGCTTGTATCACACGGGTGCATGTTACTTCCGACGCGCTTTTAACGTAAGGCACTTTATTAAATTCTACTAGACTCATCCCAGATTCTCACAAGTCAGGTAACTTTTCCACTTATTGAACCTCTTCAGTCTGACACATCTCCCGACTTCATCAAGAACCGAATCTGTGACCACTAGTGTCTTGCGCTACGAGCCAGTAGCTTATATCACTAAGCCAGGTGGGACAGCTGCACTGCACTGCAAGCTGATTGTGATATATTGCTACCCATTCTCCAGATGGGTGGTAAGGATATTTCACTCGTGAAATGCTGGGATAAATCCAGTAGCATTTCAGCAGAATTCTTCTTTTCATTCCTGCGGCATCTTTGATTGGTTACCCAAACTTTTCTCTTGACCGCGTTACAACGGACTAAAGAGACCGCGCTGGCGAAGTAGCACGGTCGGAATCCGTTGTGGTAGACTAGTAAGGAAACATCAGTGAGTTAATCCGCACTCCTTCCATTAGTGTGTAAACCGCGCTCTGTGACTTCAAAGCGCTCGATTCATATGTTTAAGTTATGAGATATACTATGAAGTACCATCCGGAACGAAGGACCTCAAGGTCACCATCGTCTTGATTCACTTTCGTATACGGAATGGCTTCACTTTTGGTCACGCTAATACTATTGCTTTTTTAAATACTAGGCGATTAACCGAGATCCGGTCCATTTTTTTCCTACTACTTTACGGAATGCTTTATTGTGGCTGATAGGAAACGTGATATTCTCTTTCCCATATCCATATATGTGCACTCCATATTTCAGGTCGGACTTTGTACGATGTGAATACCGGAGGGATAGTTACTCTTTCGATGCCTGTATCATTGTTACTAGCTCTAAGAGGTTTTTGGTGGTTGTCGGTGATGAAGAATAAAATGGGTCAAGATTGAATAACCGCATCATAACTGATTGGATGTGATCTTAGTGTAAATTCAGGATACACAGCAACTCCGTCTTTACTTGGGAGGCTTAGTAAAGGGCATGGAAACGCAGCAGCCAAGTGCTTTTATGATGCGATCCTACCCTCACCGTATGCACAGTAACAGTTGTCTTTAAAAGTTCCAGTTACTGACTGAAGGGCCATTTTGAAGCACACATTGTGTGATTGGATTGTGCAACGCGCTGTCCGTCGTGACCCGGGGGTAGAGGTTCGGCAACTATTTCCATGGTCGCGGATTGGACGTCTGCTATTTCCACTTGATGAGATCCAATGAGATGGAAGCGCGTCGTGTTGTGCAAGGTTTTGGGGTGGACAACACAGTTTCCATCTGCCAGTGCGTGGGTCATGAACTTCTGCCAAGCTGCCGGAGCGGAACTGAGACCCATTGGCAAGACTTTGTACTGGAACAAACCGTTCGATGTTAGAAAAGCGGTCAAAGGCCTCGACTCTGGTGTCAATGTCACGAGGAAAAGGCTTTTCTTAGGTTTAGCTTAGATAAAAAGCGTGCGCCAATTATCGGGACCAACAACTCATCAATTGTAGGAGAAAGCAACTTTTCGACGACGATTTGACTGGTCAGTGCCTTCAAGTCATTGCATATGCGCACAGTAGCATTTTTCTTTAGGACTGGGGCCATATAAGGTACCCACTCAGAGCAGTTAATTGGCTCAGTCCGGTCATTAGATACTATCTGTTGTATAACCTTTTTTTACCAACTACCACTTAGCTAGAGGAATTGGACGAGGTTGCGATATGAGAAACGGTTTGGCGTCCTGTATAAGGCAAGTGTGATGAGCGTCCGACCGATTGTTTCAGCGAACAATTCGGGATATTTACCCTTAAGTGTTGAGGCATTAAGTGCCATGATCCGCGTGCGGTCGATAGCAGGTGTGATGTTAAGGGAAACCATGCCATTCTGCCCCAGCAAGCCTGGACTATCTTGGTATGCAACATCGGATGCAACCGAGTCTAAACTGAGTTTCGTCATTATATATCCTAGCATTTGCACGCGGGATTTGTGTACGAATCGAATTTGTACGACATGGGATGTAACGGATTGTCACGCAGATAAGTGTCGTAAATGCTAGATGGAATGATTGTTACGGACGATGCAGTCTAGTTCCATAGCAACCGTCACAGTGATGTTAGGTCCATGGAGCGTAACCGTACGTAGGTAAGGAGAAGGGAACTTGGGTCCCAGCAGACAAATCCGTCGAATTTTCTGCTGCGGTAGTTTTCTGACGGAAAATAACATTCTTCATAATTTATGAGGTGGGAACGTCATCCTGTTGATCAAGTAAAGCCTCCCGACACGAGCAGCAACATCTGGCGAAATGGCCCCGCTTACCACAGGTTTTGCCATCTGCTATGCGAGCCTGACATGTTTAACAGTCCGCTTTGTGGCGACAGCTTCTACTTCGATAACACAAAGCCGTCAACTTCTGCTGTGGCCCGGTACCCTTGTATATATATATATATATATATATATATATATATATATATATACATATATATACATATATATATATACATATATATATACATATATATATACATATATATATATACATATATATATATATAAACCCGGGTAGCGGACCTGCTACATGTGGAATTATTTTAAAGAAGCAGCGGAGTCAAATGGACTTATAACTTTGTAAAGTTTTAATCAAATAAATGGTCAAAATATTCATTCAAAATTGGTAGGTAAAGCGAAAACCGACGTTACGGGGGGAAGGCAACGGCTATGGTAAACTTCACGCCTTTTGTTGACGACAGGACAGGAACCGACGTCATCTACTTGGACATTGCAAAAGCGTTCGATCGCTTAGATCACCGTATTCACAAACGACAGCAATATGACATCGGAGATCCAGTATTAGCAAGGATTGGTAAGATACTTCGCGAACGACGATTAGAGGTCAGAATCCGTACATCTTTTCCGACGCAATTCGTGCAAAGCGTGTCGTACCGCAGGGATAGACATTTTGACCTCACTTGTTCTTTACCATCATTAACGGACTAGTGATAGTATCTCAAAATTGCTGCAACTTGCGGACGACGTTAACATTTAGCGAGCAATTAAGTGATAGGACGGCTAACACGACCTTGATGGGGCTTGGAGTTGGTCGTTGAGATGAACGCTGCCATTCAACATGAACAAGCGCCGAGTTGTCCACAGCCGCCATCAACAAGCTTAAATCTACAGGTTTTGGACGCTGGATCTGAAGACAAGCTATTATGAACGTGAACTTTGTGGTCTAGTACTGCACAACTTCGCTTCACAAAGAGGTAACCAGCATGTTTTTCGCTTTCGGCAAGCATTTGGGAGTTTGGGTTCATCTCTCTGCTCTCCGATATTCACTGTGTACGTGGTAATTATGTGAAAACAAGTCAGTCAAAACAACTATCTAAAAGAAACGTCGGTGAGAAATCCATCCTCTAATTTCGTATGATCGGCTGTATCCACAGATG